CATCTGTATTCCTAGATACAGACCAAGACAAATCTCCCAGTTGAATCACTGAGAGAGACAGGAGGGACACCAGCCCACCAACTGTTAGCGTGGACTTAGTGAAGTGGCACTTGGAGGGGCTGGATGTGGTCAAATCAGCAGGCCCAGATGAAGTTCATCCAAGGGTCCTGAAGGAATTGGCCAGTGTCATAGTAGAGCCACTAGAATACCTGTTCGAGCACTCGTGGTGCTCTGGTCAGGCCCCAGAAAACTGGAAAAGCGTCAGTGCATTCCCTATTTTCAAGAAGGGGAGGAGGCAGGAACCAGGAGACTATAGGCCAGTTAGTCTCACCTCCATCCTTGGGAAAATTCTGGAAAAAATCATTAAGAATCACATTAGTGGGAGCCCAGCAAGGGAAATCAGCATGGGTTCATTGCAGGTAGATCCTGCCTGACTAACCTTGTTTCTTTTTATGACCAGGTCACAAAATGCTGAGCTGCAGGAGTTGAGGTAGATGTCATCTACTTAGACTTTAAGAAGGCCTTTGATATGGTATCTCATTCTGTTCTCATAAATAAACTGACAGGCTGTGACGTAGATGATTACATGGTCAGGTAGGTGGCAAATTGGCTTAGGGGTCGCACTCAGAGCGTGGTGGTGGAGGGGTCAATATTGACCTGGAAAGATGTGGGCAGTGGAGTCCTGCAAGGCTCAGTCCTTGGACCGGTACTATTCAATGTCTTCATCAATGACTTGGATAAGGGCATAGAGAGCACCCTCTCCAAGTTTGTAGATGATGCCAAATGATGGGGCAAAGTTAACATAACAGAGGGTAGAGAATGGATCTAGGTGGATCTGGAGAGGTTGGAAAAATGAGCAGAATGAAATAGGATGCAGTTCAACAAAGACAAGTGCAAAGTGCTGCACCTGGGCAAAAAGAACCACCAACACACTTACAGGCTGGGGGATGACCTTCTCAGCAGCACAGCAGCAGAAAGGGATCTTGGAGTCATAGTTGACTCCAAGATGAACATGAGTCGTCAACACGACGAAGTGATAAGCAAGGCTAACCTCACTTTATCATGTGTTAGCAGATGCATGACAAACAGGTCCAGGGAGGTGATGCTTCCCCTCTATGCAGCACAGGTCAGGCCACAGTTGGAGTACTGTGTCCAGGTTTGGGCACCGCACTTCAAGAGGGATGCGGAAAATCTCAAGCCGGTTCAGAGGAGGCCACTCGTATGGTCAGAGGCCTGTAGGCAAGGCCCTTTGAGGAGAGACGGTGGGACCTAGATCTCTTCAGCCTTTTCAAGAGAAGGCTGAGAGGTGATCTTGTGGCTGCCTATAAATTCCTCAGGGGAGGGTGGCAGGGAATGCGAAATGCTCTATTACTAGGGCACCCCCTGGAGTAACTTGGAACAATGGCCAAAAATTGACAGAGAACAGATTTAAGTTGGACATAAGAAAGAACTTCTTTACAGCAAGGTTTGCCAAAATCTGGAATGGGCTTCCACAGGAGGTGGCTCTCCCCTACCTTCCGGTCTTCAAGAGGAGACTGGACAAGCATCTAGCTGGGGTCATCTGACCCCAGTGCTCTTTCCTTCCTAGGGCAGGGGGTCAGACTCGAAGACCTACTGAGGTCCCTTCTAACCCTAACATCTATGAATCTATGAATATCCTGGCCTGACTCAGATGTGCTCTGTTAACCTGTATGCTTATGTTTGGCTGCATTTTATTGTTACCCTGATGAATGGAGTTCAAGGCATATGATGGTGTTAGCCTGTCAATACTGAATAATCCAGGCTGGCTTAGGCATGCCCTGTTAATCTGCATATGTATGTGCATATATATATGTGTTTGACTGATTTGGTGGTTGGAGAAATCCAGCCCCATTGAACATGAGTCCTGCCAGATAGCTCCGTTGGGTGTCAGGACTTGCAGAAGGGAGAGATACAGCTTTATATAGAAACACAAGTAACACAAGGAGCCCACTGCTAGAATTACAGAGAGCCCAGAAATGTACCCCTAATGAGCACACCCCAAAGTGACAGGCAAATCTGGTAACAGTGCCTGCAACCCACATCCCATCCTTCTTTAATAATTGTGTGATTGCTCTAGAGGACATTCATCCCACAGTATACAGGATGATAGGGCAAACTTGTGCTCCACTGCACAAAACTCCAGTAGGCAGGAATGCCTGCAAAGGGTACGTGGCAGAGCAGTCGCTGCTATCCTGTGCTATGCAACACTTAGAATCTCGGCAACCTAAACTTCTGCGGAGAAATGAGACTTGATCTCCTAAAGCCCCTCTAATCCCAGGATCTCAAAGTAATACTGTTAGATCTGTAAATTAGGAGTCCTCTTCACCCTGGAGGTAAATGACTCTTCATCACATTTGACAGAGAGAGAAACTGATGTAGTAAGGTTAAGAGTGGATGAGTCAACAGCATGTGGGAATTGTGCTTTACAATCTGTTGTGTGATCTTGCCACTCCTTCTTGCCCAAGGTCATAGGCAAAGCCTGCAACAGAAGTAACAGCAGTACCAGAGCCCAGGTCTCTCAGGTCCTGGACTAGATGACCTCCTGAGGTCCATTCCAGCCTTACTCTTCCATGATTCTATGATTTGTGCCGACACTACATGACTTACCATCTTCAGCATGTTGCTAGCAGTTGGGCTCACGTTCCTCCTTAAGTCATTGTACTTGTCAACAATCACCTTGCGGTTATCCGCAGTAGAAAGAGACAAAGCAGTAAAACCCAAAGCAGGTCTCTAAAGGAAAAAACAACAACAACAACAAACAAACAAAAAACAATAACAACAACAAATAACACACAAGAAAGGTTTCGTCTATGTTAACTTGTATTAATTTAAAGTGAATAGGTTTCCTGGTAGGTTTTCTCAGCATACCCCTGAGCTATGGAACACTGCTAGGAAGGGGCACCTTTTCCTCTCCCTCTTCTTACGGAGGTAGGAGGAGACTCGCGGGTGATAGAAAGTGGTTGTATTTTGGAATACTTCTGTGACCTATGTCAACCTCAGTTTCTTTCCCAGCATAACAGCACACAATAAAGGTAAGGAAAGAGTTATTTTTCACCTGGCACTAGGGAAGGGAAGGATGTTTAAGCTGGTAGAGAATAGGATAGCCAGGGCGCTTGTACATGTCACGGGGTTTTAGTCCTTAGAGTTGCATTCTATGCCCCCTAAATTGAAATTGTGAGTTTCTAATTGAAATGGTTGGTTTTATTTTTCTGTCACTGTATATATGTTATTCTTTTGGTGGTCCCAGGTGCCTGCTGAAGGCAGAAGCAGCGAGGGACCCAATCATTTTTTCTTCTCTTTTTTCCCCTTGGTGGAGCCTGCCCACCTCTCCCGTAGCCAGGGGGACATTAATCTGGGCCATTAATCTGTCAGCTGGCCTCCCACCTGTGGAAGAAGTGGGCAGGCTCTGCAGAAAAAAAGGATCAGGCCCCTTACTGCTTCTGCCTTCAGCAGGCTCCTGCGGCTAGCAGGATTCCTTGGGCTGCCTCGTAATGGGCTGGCTTGCCCCTGGGGCAGCACAGGGAAGTAGTAGGAGGGTGACTGGGTGTGCTGTCAGCCAGAGAAGGCAGCAGGGACAGTGCACAGTGAGCTGGAAGCATGGGCAGGCTTGAGGAAGTGTTGGATCAAGTGCCTCTTAGCTGGGGAGGCACCTGGCAAGCTAGCAGCCTGCCCAGGCAGGCCCACACCTGTGCACCGTCCCTACCACCTTCTCCGGCTGCCAGCACACCCAGCCACCCACCCATCTCCGCCCTGCACTGACCCAGGGACAAGCCAGCCCATTCCCAGCTGGCCCCGGGTGTCCTGATGGCTGCAGGAGCCTGCTGAAGGCAGAAGAGGTGAGGGGCCCAATCCTTCTTTTTCTGCGGAGCCTGCCCACCTCTCCTGTGGCCGGGGGCGGGGGGCTAGCTGACCAATGGCTGCAATGTTCCAAGTTGCAATGTTGCAAACTAAACGACATTGAGGTGTAGTTTAGTTTGCAATGAAGTAAACTCATTTAAAACCCCCAGAACTCAGATATGTGTAATGGGTGATGCCATTAAGCCACACAAAGGGAAATTTTCAGTACATGCACATCATGACATCGAGGTAAATTTGGGAGGTTTTACAGACAAAAGAAATCAGAGATTATCTTGCAAGGATTGGTGCCCAGGAGGTATATCAAAAACCCAGCAGAGTAAACTGGCTTGGAAAAGGGGACTCAGTGGCCATGTCCAGGTGAGCAGGGGTGTGTTTTTGCAGTGGCACAAATAGTAGGGGCACACAATTTGTACCACTACTTTTTGCCCCAGAACAGGCCCCTGCATGTGCTTTTTGTTGAGGGTGATGCCCAGCTCCTCCCAGCTGGGCTTCATGTGCTGTGAGAAGAAAGGGGCATTGTCTGGGGCACAAGGTGCCTAAGCGTGGGGCTAGCTGGCAGGCAGACCCTGTACCCTGTGCCCTAGCCAGCTGGGGAGCATCATGTGGAGACAAGGGAGAAGGCACCCCAGCACTGCTTGCCCCCCCATCTCTACCCACTGTGGAGCTCCCACACTGAGGTACATAGAGACAGGGGAGCACCAGCCCAGGGCTGCCTGCTTCCCAGTCTCCACATTTGTCCTTGCATTTTGTCCTAGTGCTTAACTCTCTCCATGTTTGTGCTGTTTTTTTTGGGGGGTGGGGGGGATTGTTACTGGGAAATCTCATTATCAAATATTGCTCCCATGCTGCAAATTAGCAGCACCTTGCATGATTTAATGTGCAATACATGCAGTTTGTGGCAAAGAAGTTTATGGTGCCACAAAATACAGGTGCCTGCATGTCTGGATGTGCCCAGTGTAGACTCCTCTTCCCACGCTTCTAGGAGAGAGAAAAAGAGAAAGAAAACACAGTCCCAAGTCTGGACCCTAAAGGGCCATGGCTAGTTAGACCTGGAGTTTGGTTTGGACTTTCTAATCCAAGGACTCTGCCTACTACATTGCAGTTGTTGCCCAATAACACTTCTTGTTTTAGCAAGACTTCCTGCCTTGGACATTTCCTTTCCGATTGCCATCCATCCTTTAGAGGGGCAAAGACCCCATCAGGAGCTAAACCAAGTGGAGCTCATTGTCAGATGTATGGGGTTAATAAACACTGCTATCACCTAAAGAGCCTATTGTCCATGTTCAAGGAGCTCTGGGCTCACCCTCATGAAGGGCAATGTCTAGGCTGGTTTCAAGGGAGTACTCAGACTATGTGAAGACAGAGGACCTTAAGCAAGAAAACCTCAGTGAAATTCATGATAACATTTCCATGCTTTCCCAATTCCTTCATAGTTTCATAGTTTCTAGGGTCAGAAGGGACCTGAGCAGATCATCAAGTCCAACCCCCTGCCATGGCAGAAAAGAGTACTGAGGTCAAATGACCCTAGCAAGGTGTATATCTAGGCTCCTCTTAAAGACCCCCAGGGTAGAAGTCAGCACCACTTCGCTTGGAAGTTGGTTCCAGATCCTAGCCGCCCTGACCGTGAAGTAGTGCCTCCTGATATCTAGCTTAAATCTACCCTCTGCCAGCTTGTGACCGTTATTCCTGGTCACTCCTGGTCGTGCTCGGGGGAACAGGGACTCTCCCAGTGCCTGCTGGTCCCCTCTGACTAGTTTGTAACAGGCCACTAGATCCCCCCTCAGCCTTCTCTTGTAGAGGCTGAACAGGTTCAGGTCCCGTAGCCTCTCCTCGTAGTGTCTGCCCTGCTGCCCCCAATCATGTGGGTGGCCCTCCTCTGGACCCTCTCCATGTTGTCCACATCCCTACTGAAGTGCGGCACCCAGAACTGGATGCAGTACTCCAGCTGCAGCCTAACCAGTGTCGCATAGAGGGGGAGGATCACCTCCTTGGACCTGCTTGAGATGCATCTGTGGCTGCATGACAAGGTGTGGTTGGACTTCCTGATTGCATCCCCACACTGCTGGCACATGTTAATCTTGGAGTCAATGATGACTCCAAGATCCTTCCCTAGGCATCAGGTCCCCACCATCTTAGAATTAGGTGTTTGGGACTATTGCGTGGGACATCTAGGAGAATTAGAGAACCAAGGCTCAGATAAAGGAAAGTCTTCTGTATATGAATAGTTTGGAATTGCCTGGTGTCTATAAAACAATGATTTAAAATCTTTCCTTTAGGAGTAGCCAGTAGGAAAGTACCTGCTCCCCTGTTTGTTTCCATGAGGATGACAGAAGACTACAATGGAGATCCAAGAAGTAGTGCCATGTAATGAAATCATCCCAGCTATACCAATAAGCAGAGTTTGGTTTGCACTTGCTTGCACTGAAGTAAAATAAATATACTTACTCAATGGGGTTACATCTGTATGCAACTAGGGCAAGAGGAGTACTAGTTCTGTAGATGTGCCTGTACACAGGAGCAAAAAGGGAGAGAGGGGGAATCCATATTATGTGCCCCTTTCCAAGCCAATTTACCATGCTGGGTTTATGATATGCCTGCTGGGCACCGTGGCTTCCAATACATATGACAGTCAGAGATACTCATGATCAAATCCCATGATACCCGTGGACTTCTGAACTACTGACTAATTAGAAAGTAACTGAGTACAAGACTCAGCCTCTTCCATGAAGCTGAAGGCTCCTACCTGTCCAACAGATTGGTGCAGCACCACCGCCAGACACATGAAGATAGCTAGCAGATGCATCTCTAAGAACCAAAATAAATAAATGAATGAATAAATAAATAAGAACAAATAATTTAGTCTCTTTTTTGTCTGAGCTTCCTCTGCATTTGGAGAAGCAGTGCTGTTATTGGGACATATATCTCTAGAGGCAATTAGAAGTTGACATAGCTTCTGGGCACAGCAGTTCTCCATTTTGTTCTCCTCTTTTGCTTCCCTCTCTTTCCCACACTGCTTCTCCATTGTGGCTGCTCTACTCTCCAGGGTTTCCCTACTTAGTCTTTTGCCACCACAGCTTTCTTTTTTACTCCAGTTCTTCTTGTTCTTGCTTTGGGTCAGGGATCAGAAGCTGGCAAATGGCCAGATTTAGACAACATCAAAATTCAGATATTCCATCCTGTATGAAGTTTTGGCTTTTTTCAACATTTTTTTTAAACTGAACTTGGGGTAGAAAACCATGATTGCCATTATTTTTCACAGAAATGCCAAAAAAAAAAAAAATCCGTTCAGAAACATCCAAGCATTTCATTTTGTCTCTTTGGGACTGGACCCATGCTAGTACTTACACTGCCTCATGAGCCTATTCCATTTTATGGACTGGGCTACTTAGATGTATTACATTTCCCATGATACAACATGGCATCTGAGTTATAAGGATGACTGGAATAACCCATGGGAGATGCAATCCAGATAAGGAGACCAGCCCATAGAGGAGGCTGCACTCGGTAGCTAAAATTACATCTTCCACAAGACACCATAGCAGGCATTACTGCTGAAATGACTCAAATCAAAGTATATATATCAAAACCATATTTTGACTGGGATCACCTTGACACAAGACTAATTATTTTATTCGTTTTCCCCAAAATTTCAATTTTGTGGGAAAAAAATTCAGCCTGCTTTGTTTCCAGACAGTGATTGTTGCGTGTCTGCATGCACATTGCCTTCCAGATGTGGTGGAAGCTAGTGGCTTGGCATGTTAAATATTGAAGATAATATCCATAGGGAGGCAAGTGCTGGTGGGTCAGAAAATATTACTTATGTGTATGCAGGTTGTGCCAAAGAATTATGTCAGACACTGTACAAACATGGTATAGAAATATTTACAATCAAAATAGGTAAGGCAGGCAAGGGTAGGGCATGAAGTAGAATACACCAGCAGAATGTGAAATATGAGGGCAGTAAACATTATAATAGTTCTGTGGGGTTTTTTGTGGCTTTATTTAAAAGGGGATCAACTAAATGACAGGACTGGCAGAGGAAAGAAGGTATGTTG